ATCCCGAATATCAATCTCAACATTCCTTTCATCAATGTTTGGTTCAATCGAAGATGGATGAACTAAACGGACTCTTTGAATTACTTCTCCATCACTGATTCACCGAGGCTGAGGAATTCAGGAAACTCTTTCACTTATAATTGATAAATAATACAACTTCACAAACAATTAAACAAGAAGGAACCAGAATTTCAGAACACGTAATTAAACTCACCAGCGCGGCAGCGCCTGCAATAGCCAATCAGCCAAATCAATTTTCGCCTCTATAATCAGCAATCCAGGGTCTGAAAAACACAAAATTTGAAGGTTAATGATGTAGCAGAGCTTCAGAAGTATAAGGAACGAAGAATATAACCTTCGAAGTTCGAGCTTCAAAGTGGCTAACCTTCGACGAAACCTCCTGTCGAAGTTCAGATGGAGGGAGGCTGAGGAATTCAAACGGGGGAGGCTGAGGAAGTGGAGGCAGAGGTGGAGGCTCAGCACAGCAGTAGAGGCGGAGGAGGTGAGACAGAGATAATGAATGAAATGGGGAAGGCGCTGGTTACTTGAGTTTTGTTTTTTTTTGTTGGGCTGGGCCTGGGAAGTGGGGGCTGGTGAAGTGGGTTTTGTTTTTTTGGATTGGGGCGGGGCCTAGGGCTGGGAGTTAAAAAAATAAATTTGAGCCCAAAAATTAAAAAAAAAAAGATTTTAAAATTAGGGGGGTCTGTGTATTTGTGATTTTCCCCATGTTAGGCTTGAATAAAAGAATTAATCTTCATTTATTCATTTGCAGTTCCTTCCAAAGAAGGTGCAGTTCTTGCTGGTGTTGGCTTAGGGTGGTTAATTTTCTACTGTAAACAGCACAGAAAATTGCGGCCTGCTGCTAACTCCTTGGAACAGGGGCCTCTAGACTTGTTCTTTGACTATTTGTACCCCCAACATCCCTTCCTATCCGTCTCCAAAGACAGATGTCGGTTGGGACAACTCAGACTTCGGAGTGCAGATATTCAGCTACTGTGATCTTGAAGAAGCTACTGATAATTTTGATCGTTCGAGAGAATTGGGAGATGGCGATTTTGGCACTGTGTACTATGGTTTGATTACAAGCCCTTTTGTTTCTCATGCTATTCCTTTCCGAATGGATAAAAGTAGGAAATTACTTCTAATTTTCACACAAGCCCCCGTTTGCGTAGTTGCTTATTTCATCTTTCTTGAATTGATATGTGGTTGGTATGAAGTTTAGCTTACTTACCTTTATAGCCCGCAAGAACGGCTAGAGGCAACTTTTAGTGTTTAGTTATGCAGAGTCTAATATATTGTTCAATTATCCCTCGATTTGTTTTAACATAGGTGTATTGGGCATTCGTCTCTTTGTAGTAGGTCACCCGATCTTCCTACATTATATAATTATATGAAGATATCTGTAGAGGTGGATTTTTTATGTTTTTGTATGTGTTTGAGAGAAAATATTGAGAGCTGTGAGTCCATCGTGTACCTCTTTTTTTCGATTATATCAAGTATATCCGCAGGATTGAGACTAGAGCTTAATCCGTTACGTATAGTTGAAAGACTAATCAATTATTTGTTTTTTCACTCCCTACTCAACCCTATTAAACAAAGTGACTTTACCATTTCTGAAACAGGTGTGCTACGTGATGGTAGTGTTGTTGCAGTGAAGCGTCTATATGAGAACAATTTCAAGCGGGTAGAGCAGTTCAGGAACGAAGTCGAGATCCTAACTCAATTAAGACACCGGAACCTTGTCACCCTATATAGATGCACATCAAAAAGTAGCCGAGACCTAGTGCTAGTCTACGAGTATATACCGAATGGAACAGTGGCTGATCATTTGCATGGAAAATGGGAGAAATCTAGCTTGATTTAATGGCCAATTCGGTTGAATATTGCCATTAAAACAGTCAATGCACTGGCTTATCTCCATAAATCGGACATCGTGCATCGTGATGTAAGAACCAACAACATTCTCCTAGACAATGATTTCCATGTAAAAGTTGCCGATTTGGGCTGTCCAGAATATTGAATACGTAATTCTACACATTCATATTCTTTCAAGCATATTAAAGCCTCCAACATATCTTATTTTAGTCTTAATCGTTCGTTTGATAAAACTCGACCACCTAAACTAAATGCACTCTCCGATACTACCGTAGACTCCGGAAATGTTAGTAGATCGCTTGCAATTTTAGATAGAATTAGATATTGCTATTCGTTACACCTCAACTATAATAAAAGACTAAATTCATTTAATTTTTTTGGTTGTATCACACTACGAACGTCCACACGCATATACCTAGTTAACTCAGAGGAAATTTCAAGAGTTATACCACTGACATCTATTGCTCCGGATATTGATGAATTAAACTTAAATGAAGGAACACTTGTATTGGTGTCTAAATAATTATATATATCATCTAAATATTTTGAAATATTTCTTGAAAGTAGAACTGCCCTAACCTCGTTTTTCAGCGTAATAGTTATACATTTCACATAACATTGTTTCTCTATGCACATGTGATAATTGTATATTCATGAAATTTGAAATCCCCTTTTTAATA